CGTCATGTGTACGGATTTGTGTCAGCTTGGATTTAATCCAGGCTTAAAAAATTTCACATCCGCTTTTATAGTTTAAGAAAGTTTAATTTATATAGCTTCTAGTTTAAAATTTCGGTTCATTATCATCAACAGCGTGTCTTTAATCACCGCATTAGGGTAATCTTGGCCGTCGACTGGGCCTTAAGGAAACTAGTAGGAAAGAAAAATATGCAGGATTTCGATTAGGGCCATATTCAAAGTGCGAGAGGTGGATTCGGACGTAATTTTTGGATGTACTCATTGTCGCTTGCGAGGCCGTAGACGATGGGCTGCCAGAAGGGCAACAGATGAACATTTCGAGTTACTGAATCCGATCGCAACAGACATCTACTCAATCGACTATCAACTCGCTGGGATGGCCCAGCGACGAAGTTGTTTGGTCCGTATTTGAGGTAAAGGGCACAGCACTGAGAAGAGTGTCGAAACGTCGATTTGTGTCTGTGGCGCGACCGCTGACGAAACCAAGTCAGAGAGAAAAAACGCTTAAATTTTCATAAAATGACTTTTCTGAAATCTTGTCAGAACACATTTAAGGTTTGGAAATTGCATGAAGATGCATTGAGAAATGGAGTGTTTGCAATTGGCTCTTTGACAGTAAGCCAGTGATTGTTGTTTTCAAATTGCCAGTTCATTCATGATAAATTAATTGATAATGACAGTTATGAAGTGGTTCACACTTTAATGGACAATGTTTATCATGCACTGATGCCAATAAACACGTGTGTATGCTTTCCGTTATTTAATATAGGTAAAGTTGCTACAGCAACGTGGCCAGTTTCGCTGACAGTTGCACATGTTGTTAACCTTTGTACAATTCACACCCACCGCGGATTAATTTCCCAGCGCCGCTGCATAGTCATTAACCAGTAAAATGGCTGTCGAAATCAAATATCAGATTCTAGGAAATCTACTGAAAGTTTGATTGAACTTCACAGACATTCCATTTTTGAATAAACACTGAACCTGTTTCGTCTGATTCCTTTTCTCTATTAACCAGCTAAACACATAAAAGCCATATTTTGATGATGGATGACCCATATTCCGTTTAATTACAGAATCACTTTCGAAAGGCAAAAACTAAAGACAATAAAATGGGCCTCGGCCAAGGGTTTGCACTAAAGTTTAATGACGGTAGAAGTTCAGCACAGTGGTCCACTTATGATCATTGGTCTGAAAAACAGCATTACTGTTGTGACTTTCTCATAGCGACGAAAGAAAGATGAAATTATTTAGTTTTCATAATCACTTAAAAAGAGCAGGTGGAGTGAATTGTTGAGTAGTCATTCGTCATTACCATAGAAGCCTCTGGTTCCCTCGCAGGTTGTCATGTCACCATTTGTTTAACGTGACAAAGTCCAAAGGGTATTGTCAAATTGGAAGTAAGAAAAAAGTAATCGCATTTGCACGACGCCTTGAATCAGAGGGAAACCGGTTGTTTCTCTCAAGCGTGATCAACCAAACGAAGACTGGCCAAAGCAACGCTACGTCAGCGCCAATTGAGAACGCGTCGAAGGGAAAAAAGCATAGTCGACAGGTTCGCGACTGTCGCACATGAAAGAAGCAACGAATGACGTTTTCCGATACTCCGGCGATAACAACATGGCCAAAAAGGAGGTCGTTAGCGGCGATGACAGGAAAAAGTTCACTTATAAATCTTTGATTCATTCCAAGTCAGCCATCGTTAATCCTAGCCTGATCCTCAGCGGTAAGTTAAGCATGCTCTGTTGTGTAATACTGTGCTTGAGGCATATTTGTCGATTTTAAGGGCACCCCGCTGAACTGCGGGCCGCTAAATTCACCGGCCTAAAACGCTCCGTGTGGTGCAGTCGACTGCTGGATAAGAATGGCCAATACACGATTACCGTCAAGAACGTGCGGAACCAAAACCGCAGATATTGCAGGTGTACGATTTGAACCCATCAAAAACCTTTCCCTTATTCATTCTATTGTCAGTGTTTCCACAAACTACTTTTGGCACTCTTCCAGCAATAGCCAGTTCTCGCTTTCATTATCGTGTGGTGTTTAGTTACAGTAAGCTGATAGGGGAAAACTGTCGGGGTTGAGTAGCTTTTCAGCCACTCTATGTGGCTTTTATCTTATTATGTCATATTTGTGCTGAGTGAACATGACACAACGCAACAAGTTCTCATCAACAGTTTTATTCGCCATTAAATGTGACAATTTTTCGATACACACCATAAGAATGCGGATGATCTTTCATGGGTAAAGATAAAACTAGTATTCATCGACCAGTGGAATGATTTGAAGTACCTAAGAATGCCTAATCCACATACAAAAATGAGCAATAAAATACATGCCTCATTTCCAACAGTTCGTTTTTGGTCAAATGTGTTTATCAGACACTGTTTAAAGCCGATTATTACAAACGTCAGTGAATAAGATACATAATGCCTTAATGCGAGAGATGATATGGAGCTCTGGTAAGACGCGAACGGGAAGGCAACGCATAAAATATTCTTTAATTAAGGCCATCTGACGTTTCGGACCAAGCTCAGTCGTCTTCAGGGTACAATCCAGAATATAAATTAAATACAAAGCATCAACGTCAGTAAAAAAATATATCGGTGTCATTGATGGTGAGTTATTGAGTTGAAAATTAGATTAATCTCAGTTTCCAACTGACAATTACAGTACATGTACGATCAGTGAATAGCCAATGAAGTCAATTGTTAGTGACTCTTGTGACCGTTCTTAATATAATGCGTAACTTTCAGCCAAATTGACCTCAGAATATGGTGTTATGTTAGCGATAGACGCGTTTAACAATCGTAACTGCTTTTCACTTATTGCGCATTCGAAAGCAGCTCCACAAACTCTGTATATGAGCTATAAGATTTGTATGTGATCTTCTACCAGTAGAGAACTTGAAAATCGTACATAATTTCTTCATGCGGGAGGTGATAAAATCTTTAGGTAAGTCACAAACGGGAAAACAACGCATAAAATAGTTTTTAATTAGGGACATCTGACGTTTCGGACTAAGCTCGGTCAGCCTTCAGAGTACAATGACAAACGGCACATAGTTTTCATTCGAGTCTGGTTGATTCGCATGAGTAATGGTGCCGTGTTTGTGTAGTAGAGAACTTATAGAAAATCTGTAATTCCATGTCCGGTGTGCTATTTAAAAAATGACGACAAGTGGAAAGATTAACCTCTCGAAAAATTCTGCTATATAGATCATCTGCTGCGTAATGGCTTCATATACTTTTTATAAAATAACACATAACTCGGCTCGCATTCCAGTTAACGAAGAACAATTAATGGACCATGTTCCCCATCCCTTTTCTACCAGCAGCAATCTGCGAATTGATAAGCCAAAACTGAAAATTGTTATCCCAATATTGTCAAGCCAATCATTCCACAAGGATTCCATACGATGTTGATACTGAGACGCTCTTCTGTCGTCATAAGAAATTTACTATTATTGCTCCAACATCAACCACTATTTTTGGCAGAGACACTTGCAAACATTAATTTTAAGAGTGAGACACTCTCGTAATTTCTAACTGGAGTTGGGCAGACCCATCGTTTCTTGACTTGAAGCAGTACTGACTAATATTTCGACGACCAAAAAATACACGCCACCCAAATGTGAGCCGTTGGCCAACTCTGAACGAAAGGTCAGACATAGAAAACAATCTAAGATCATGAGTTCAGTCAATGAGTCGACGAATTTAAGAACACCGAGCGCCGTATGATTGTACGATTGGCAGCATGATTTAAAGGAAAAAAGCACGTAATTTCTTAATGCACAAATATCTCTGCCTGATATGCGTAAATAATCATCAAAAGGTTGCAAAAGTAATAATACAGAAGTAAAAGGTCAGCACATATTTTACTTTCAATGGGCCAAACTACACTGCTGCCGGTACGAGGAATTACTTTACCACCATCCTTGTAGATGTCGTTAAAAGTAACAGCATTTACAACCTGTTCTTTCCTGCTACGATATGAATCTCCTCCTTTGAACCTGGTTTTAATCATTTTGAAAATAACAGATTAAGAAGAGTCAATGACTCTTCGGTGATCTGTAAGGCATATTTTTAAATTGAAAAAAATTTTCGTCTAGGCAGTAGTCAGAGAAGCCAATTATGGCTTAACTGCCTGCAGCAGTGCCGTGTGTAAACTTGTTTTATGCGTTTGTACCGTCTTCATTTATACTTTGCGCCAGACGAGGTAAGGGTTAAATTGGACGGTAAGAGAATCAGCAGGGTTTCAGTCAGTTTTCCTTGTTTCTGTGAAAAACATGCTCTTAGGCGACTGCAAGTCTATTTAAACAGTGACTTCCCACGCTCCTGCGTTTGCCTTCTGGACAGCGGCGGTGTTTCTTTAAGAAAAGCTGATGAGCCAACGATTTCACGATTTTGCCCATACTTCGATCAAATCATAGTTTATTGCATCCGCTGCAACACCGATGCGGCGTCATGTAGCTTTGTTGCAGACAACTGTTCATTCGCTACTAGACTACATTAGCCAATTTTTAATAAGCTGTGTATATATTCTAACTGGAAAGCACTTCAGTGACGATCGTCGATTTTCAGCATGGCTGCTGCTTCTAAGTTCTAACGAAGAATCGTAATGACCGAACTTCAAGCCTCTATTATTATCACGAAACTGATGCTCGCTGACAGAATATCATCTAGGCCTTTACACGTTATGGCTGCAACACCATTTCTGACGCTGTTTTGCGTCTCAGCACTATCGTTGAAAATTAATGAGCTTAAATTTTTATACCGATCAGGTAGATGGCCTAAGATATTCCCAATATAATAAAGAAACCGATTAATGATACCGAAACGAAAGCATAATCAAGAGCGATGACGTTCACTGAAAGAGAATAAAAATATGCAAAATTTAGTGACATATGGAATACGCTAGTGGAAGTAAAATGGCGGTGGTGCTTATCATTATTTGCGATGAGCTTTGTGCTCAGCTGGCTGATGTTCTCCCTGCTATATTATGGCATAATGGTCGCGCATGGCGATTTCGTCCAAGCAGATGATAAGGATTGGAAACCTTGCCTGCAGAACATAAACTCGTTTGTTTCCGTCTTTTTATTTTCCCTCGAAACTCAACACACGATTGGTTTTGGAGTAAGGTAAGGCTATAAAGCTTCGCTCATAACAAAGTATTCACTTTTCAGATTGGATTTAAGGTACCCAACGGAAGAATGCCCAGAAATCGTATTTACGCTCGGACTTCAGTCAATGGTTGGAGTCATTATTCAGACCCTGATGGTCGGAGTGGTTTTCGCTAAACTGACTCGCCCAAAGAAAAGAGCCGAAACTTTGCTGTTCAGCAGAAATGCAACGATTAACCTACGCAATGGCAAGCTGTGCCTATGTTTTCGAATCGGCGATATACGCAAGTGTAAACTAGCCAACGTGCAAATACATATGCTAATGATAAACAAGTACACAACGGAAGAAGGGGAAGTGTTACCATTTTTTCTCAACGATATGAAAGTAATTAGATGCAGTCAGAAACAAGTTCTAAATAACTAGCATTTGCATTTTTAAGGTACAAATTGATACAGTGAAAGATTTCCCGACATTAGCATGGCCAGTGATTGCTTGCCATTTTATCGACGAAAACAGTCCGCTGTACCGATATGACGAAACAGGTTTACAAAACGCAAAGCTAGAAATTATCGTTATTCTTGATGGGCTGATTCCCACAACAGGAATGACTACTCAAGCACGAACAAGCTATTTACCATTCGAAATACTGTGGGGAAGACGGTAAGCGATAGAAACGTTGAACTACAATAGTATGCTTGGAATCTTGTCACTCTAGGTTTCATCACTTGATGACCTACCAGAAAAAGAATGGCATCATAGAGTTGGACTACACCAAGTTTAACAGCACTTATGCCGTTAGAACACCGAGATGCTCAGCAGAAAAACTAAAACAGAATCATGAGGTAAGCAGCAAGATGTATTCAAATATAACTTGACGCGCTAATAATTTCAGAACTTGATCAAAAATACAATAGTCGAAGAGCCAGCAATGGAAGAAGTACAATATGACTGTGAAGAAATAAACAAAGAAGTACCTGAAGCCAGTAAATTGATGCAGAAAATTGTGTAAAACATTTTATTATCAATAAAATAAAATTACAAGTTTAAAACAAATTCAACTAGCTGCAATGCGAACCTATTTGGACTCAGATACTTCCCGGTCGTTCGAACATCCGGCATTTGTTCCCAACAGTGCCGAATCTGTAAGTGAATCATTATCGGAAGGCGCTTCTTGCTTTATCGCTTGAGCAACAACTGAAATAGTATGGCATAGTTACACATAAACAAAATATGGAATAAGGTTGAAAAACCAGATGCGCAAAACTGCATTCATAAACATCTGCATTTATTACATTAAGCTGCCAGTGACTTTTCTGTCCATTAATTTTGTCACAGTCTTCAAAGAGATATTCTGTATTTATACTACGTTCAACTTAACAGTGACCGTTTCAAAGGGATAGATCGTAAATAATTTTTCAATATTCAAATGCACAGAATAATGGGAGAAAGACGTTACGTGAAGAAAATTTGCCTGGGACGAAACTGTCTTTGCCGTGTAGCAAGTGAAACATCTATAAAAATGACAGAAAGATCAAAACAGCACCAGTGATCAAACTGTCTGAAATGCTATTGCTGGTAACACTTAATGAATTATCGAAATCTAAAAGCCTAGAAAAGACAATGTGAGAACTGCAGCTTTTGAAATATGGACAGAACAGTTGGACCAAGCGATGCTTTTGTCCATATGGCCAATCACTAAACAGAGATTGTTGGACATAGTTGCTAAGGCTGTTCATGTCTGAAATGGAATACTGAACGAAACATGCAGTTCCTCAAAGATCGTGATAAAGAAAAGACTGTTTCAATTTCAAAATAGTTGTTTTTCATCATTGTCGATCTGAACAGTCGACATCGGCAAACAGTCTCATGGTCAGCTAACTTGATAAACAACATTCACAGAGTTTAAAGCCGCATTTCGTTCAGTACATCATCAACGGATGTTGTAAAATAACAGAGCAGACTGCTTCAATTTTGAAAGGCATTTGTAAAAGAGATGTGTGCCATGAAACAGAAGGAGGGTAATATCATGAATTCTGCATTAAATATTCAGTCTACCAAGCAGATATGCATTCATATTTTATATTTAACACAGTATTCAACTTTTTCATTTGAGACAGTGCCTATATGAACACTAGCAAAAATGAAGGTCTCAGTCTAAAGGTGGGGTACGGTTGACCAGTCTGTT